TTTTGCGTATTGTAAACCTATTATACAAATTGATGGAACATGGTTGTACGGGAAATATAAAGGAACGCTACTCATGGCAGTGGGACAAGATGGCAACAACAACATTTTCCCAATTGCCTTCGCTCTAGTTGAAGGGGATACTGCTAGAGATTGGAGTTTTTTCCTAAAAAATCTATGATTACACGTGTCTCCCTAACCTAAATTATGTTTGATTTATGACAAACATCCATCAATCAAGAGTGCATATAAGAACCTTGATAACATTTGGAAAAATCCTCCTTCAAAACATGTCTATTGCATTAGACACATTGCTCAAAATTTCATGCGAGAGATCAAGAACAAGACGCTGCGAAAGAAGGTTGTGAATGTAGGGTATGCATTAATAGAGTCTTCCTTCAAACACTACTGTGAAGAAATCATATTGACAAATGCCGATGCATTAAGATGGATCAACAATATTCAACTGAGAATTAGACCAGGGCATACGAAAATGGCCAACGATGGGGCCACATGACAACAAACCTCATTGAATCAATGAACCGTTTTGGTAAGGGCAACATATTTTAGGCTCGGGGTAATTTTTTATATCAGACGTTCAAAGTGGAGTCTTGTCTTACAATATGGGTAGTTGTTCAATGATATTTCGATGAAATTCATTAAGGACGAAGCTGCCAAAGCTACCACACATGTGGTCACAGTGTATGACCGCAATAAAGGTTAGTTTAGTATTATTGAGTCAATGGATCACAATGAAGGGAGGCCAAGGAGATGCTACCGAGTGGAACTAGATAGGAGTTGGTGTGACTGCATAAAGTTTCAAGTATTTTGTATGCCTTGCTCCCATGTAATAGCAGCATGTTCAAAGGCTCTCCCGGACCCTTCCAACTAAGTTTCTGTTGTTAACCAAGTTATTAGTCTATGCAATGTCTATAACACTAGCCTTCATATAGTAGCAACAGAGGACTATTGCCCTGCATACGAAGGCGAAATTGTATTTATGCAAAGAAATAAAAATTGTAGTCCTAATAGCATGCGTATTCAAACGAAGATGGATACGGAAACAAAATGGTTAGATTGTGTATTTCGTGTCGTCAGCTCGAGCGCAATCGTACAAAATGTCTCAATGTAGGATCAAGCACAACATCATAGTTTTAAACGTAAGCTTGTCTCTTTATATCAATGAAAACTTTCATTCTGTTAATATCATAACATTCAATAACAATAATTTAAACACTTAAACAACCAAACAAACAAATATAATGACTAAACAACACAACTAAGCAATTACAACCATCAGGACAATTTCATGAGAACTATACATCAACATATGAACATCTTGGTCATTAGTAACATTCTCCCATACGAACCTCTCCATTTTGGTTTAACGTGGTAACAAGCCTTTGAATTCATCAGATCTTTTCACCCCTTGGAATGTCTCCATCTAACCAGTGGACCAGGCTCATGTTAAAATGTTCTAACATCAGTGTATTCTAGAGGCGAATCTTTATTGGAGGTTTGACTGGCGAGAAAATTAAATTGGCATTTCTCTTGTTGATATATGGAACCTGATAGATATATTTGAAGGAATAAGATGAATAAGAGGAAGAAGAGGAAGTCATTTTGACCAAGGAATGAGGAGAAGTTCGTTCGAAGAAAAATGATGAGAGGTTGGTGCAGAGAAAAATGAAGACATGGTAGCCAGTATTTATAAGGGGGAATGTGTAGTAGTAGCCAGTTCAAATGGCGTACACACAAATGGTTTTAAAAAAAAATAATAAATAAAATACAAGGGCGGCGCCATATGAAATGGCTCATGGGTTGTTTCATTAAAGACCAATGAGTTAAAAATATGTTTGGTTTTTCCATCATTTAAATTAAGTGGAATCATCCTTTGAATATGGTAGGAAAATTCGTATTGTATTTTTCTTGTGGCACTTGATTCCTTCTTGTAGAAGAATTATACTTTTTTTATTGGATCATTATTTGCGCCACTGTTAAGTGTTAAGGACAGGCCATGCTTTGATACCAATTAAAGGTATGAAAAGTACACAAGAAGAGGGGGGTTGAATTGTGTTTTGCAGTTTCTTTAATTTAACTTCTTATTAGAGTTTCAGAATCAGAACTAGTGTTCAGATTCTGCTTTAATTCATTGGCAACAGATATACCAAAAGTAAACAAATAACAGTAGAAGACACAAAAGATTTATCCTGGTTCCTCCCATAACTGAAAGTACTTCAGTCCCCTTGCCTCACAAGAGATTTTCATTATGACCACTTCATGATTACAATCGCTTATGCTTCTGCATAAGTCTTTTAAACTTGCTTAGACCAACTGTCTGAGACTTTCTTGCTTAGAGCACATGTCTAAGACTTCTGCTCACATCCTCTAACCGAGCCACCTGCTCTTCTGGCCATCCAGACTAAGACTTCCTTTCTCACATCCCCTGGCCGAGCCACCTACTCTTCTGGCCATCCAGATGAGACTTCCTTGCTTAAGCAGCACTTGAGACTTCTTGCTCACGCCCCTTAGATGGAGACTTTCCCTTTGCTCAATCAGCCTAACTGAATAAGACTTTCACATCTCAAGCACTTAAGCAATGAGACTTATGTGACTTAAGCATCTAGGCTCAAGACTTGTTGCTTGAATCCCAATGAGACAAGACTTTTGCTCAAGCACATAGCAAGAGACTTTGGTCTAAACTGCTGAATAGGCCTAGTAGGATAGAGAATAAGGTGTACATGATACTAGTATCATACGGGAAATCATCATAACAAAGACCTAAAGCACTTAAGATTTCTAAGATATACAATATTTAAGAAATCTTAAGACTTTTACAATTACAACCTACAAATAGAAAATATACATATGACAATAGAGTTGATAATTTCGTGATCTTGCTATATTTATAGCCTTTGCAGAAAACTAGTCCTGGAGAATCCTTGTTTTTATTTTCAGTAAGAACCTTCAGCCATATTTATAGCCTTTGCAGAAAACTAGTCATTGAGGAAGTAACTTGATAAGGTGTCTTTGTCTTTACCCCATAGTACAAAAGACGTTGAAGATGAATGTACAGCAGATTCTGAATCCAGTGTGTAACATATTTAACCTTTGAGTCTTCAAGAGGTTCTCGTACTAATATAGTCGTTAGAAGTAGTCATCCATAAAACATGTCATCTTTTCTTGAGCCTTGAAATCTGTAGACTCTAACTGACAAACTGATAAGACAATACAGTTTGCTTTCTGCAATACAGACGGCTTCCAGCTTTATCATCAACTCATAGTTATACTAGATTCTGATATACAATTGCAAAGTGTAGTGACTCGTCTAAATATTGGACCTTCAGCACCAGAGTCTGCACCAAGCCACGCCAATAAACGTTCTTCAGATTCTGCCACTAGAAACTAGCAATGAAGCAACTCTCAAGTGTGACTAAGTAAAATAGATTCTTATTATTTATGTACAAGAACAACAACCTGCATAAATAAAACACACATCAAATAAACCATTATTCTTTCAATACTTTTGTTATCATCAAAACTAAAAGACAATATGTCATGAACAAATCTTTTTCTAAAACACACTTGTTGAACCAAAGATTTACCAAAATGATCCACTGTCTCACGCTCACGCTACTCCCTTGCAAGGTACCACTAGTGGAAAAAAGACTTTTTAAGTCGGTTAAAAATGACTTTTTAAGTCGGGTCCGAGCCCGACCTAAGAATTACCGACATAAGAAGTTTTGACTTCTTAAGTCGGTTGTGGACCTGACTTAACAAACTATTATTAGGTCGGTTAGACAGAACCCGACTTAATAAGTCTAGCCTGCAGAAACCATTTATACCCGACCTAAGAACTTACTTTCTTAAATCAGGTATAATTAACCGACCTAAGAAGTTTTTTTCTTGGATAATCATACAAATCAGATACAGTTTTCCCATTTAACAATTTACCCCCAAATCAGACTATCCAACTCAATCAACAAATTACACCCAAAAAAAATCAGACAACAAAGATCACAGTTTTTTGTAATTAATTGATACAACTTGCTAAAAATTAAATTAATATATCAACATAATTTTTTGTAATTAATTGATACAACTTGCTAAAAATATTATATTACTTACATGTGTCCATGAACCAACAACATTATAATGAAAAACAACATACAAGGTAAGATAGTTTCATGAATAAAAAAATAGACCCACTGATCCGATACTCCTGCAAGCACAAGCCTCTTTACGTTTGCTTGGAAATCCTTTTCCTTCTTTTGCACCCTGAAGGCATCATAATAACCTTTTCCCTTGTTTATCTCGCATGTTGCTTTGTACTCTTCCAAATCCCTCATGCTTTCCACAGCCTTCTCCTCAATCTCCTTTTTTATTTTCTCCTCATTCCTTTCTTTTTGCTTTTCTAACTCCCCAGCAGCTCTAAGGCATAGCCGTGCTCTTATGCTCTGAGATCAGATTCACCAAAAACAAACATATGCCAGCTATCTAAATTATGTAGTCTAACTTTATGCTCGAAATAAAAGATCTGTTATATTAAACACACATATAGTGAAAGCAAAAGAAAATTTACTGACCAGTCCAAGGCTATCCAAGGCGGCTGCAATGTCGGTATTAGAAACATCGCCAGAAGACAAGGGAAGGTCATGAAGTTTGTTTAAGTACACCATATTTTGCATTCCCAAACTCTCCTCTAATTCAGCTTCATCAACCTACCCTAATGTATTTTTCGATAACTGTTCTGGTTTTGATTACTTTGTGCACTACTTACTTTTTTAATAACAATACCAATTGTGGCCACAGCATTCAAGAGATTCTATCTTATGTGCCTAAACAATGAATTTGTCTTTCTTTAACAACATCAGAAATTTTGAATATATAAGGGTCAAGAGGAAGGATTTACACTCATTTGAATTCCTTATATACACACACAAGCACATATGTAACTGTTTTCAAGTAAAAGATCACTACATATTAAAGAGCCACGAGATTTTCTACATTGCCATTGTGGCTGGGAAGAGCCTATCTAAGAAGGTATATACACCACCTCCTAATAGCATTGCTCCGCTGTTGAACAAGCAAAAACCAGAAACATGGAAAATATACAAGTTATTTAATTAACAAGTGGAAATTCTTGAAACTACCAAGTAGTCAGTGTGTGATGATGTGTAAGGGGGAACAACAGTGCTACCTTCAAGTGCTTAATGAAAAATTAAAAAAAAAATTACCTTACAGGATTGATCCATGCTGAGTACTTGCGAAATGAAAGCAAACTCTGTCAATACAGATTTGAATGAGAACATAGTTTTCAATGAGATATATATCGCTTAAAGGTTACACTATAAAACCAAAAGAAAATGTTTATGAACCTGTAAGGCGCCAGCAAAAGAAGCAGCCAAAAGTAAGGGAGAAATGTATCCTGTTGTGTATGTCAAAAGCAAGCTGCCTCCAATCACTGGATTCTGTAAAGAAATATTCATCGGAGGCAAAGTTGACAAAAACCGTGGCCGAGTACACTTAAGTTTTTGTAATGATTCATTTGAAAGAATTAGGATTCATGACAGAGTTCATGTCCGAAATATAAAAAACAATAGGGATTTGTATCCAATCAAAACATGACTCGCATGTATTGTAAGATATTAATAAGCACAATTCATACATATATTCCTTGATATGCAGCAAAACTGCATGATTATATATTCAATGCACTAGAAAGCCATTTGTCATCGGGTGCAAAAACATCACAAACATAGTTTACTTGACATATTAGATTTAAAATGCAACCAACAAAATCTACTTGACCGGTGAGTTTTTAAGCCGAAACTAATTAGCAAATAACACGCATTTACCCTTGGTTCTCTTTCCAACACATCATATAAATGTTGCCATCATGAAGCAATATTGGTTACAAACAATAAGTACCTTGGATGCGGCGACATATCCCAGAAGGGTAGCCAGAACAGGTGTACTGCATGGTGAGGCAGCTAATGCAAATGTAAGCCCAGCCAAATATGCTTGCACACCTAAGAGTAGAACTCCTTCATGTTAAATTCTCTACATTGAAATACATACTGAAAAAACAAAAGAAGTGAGCATTAGAGCATTGACTTACTTGATGGAAAATTGGCAGCCACAGAACATGGATCAAAACTGTCGAAGAATGAGGGGAGCTGTAATTTAATGATCTGAAATTTTTTTCTCAAGGTGAATACAACCGCCAAAAATTCTACCAGAGAAAGTTTTTATAGTTTTGTTAACTTATAAGAACTAGATTCAGTGAGTCAGTGGCTTAATCTAAAAATTTTTGAAATTTGAGGAATGTTTTCTTACAAAACATAGATGGCACGCATCAGACTATCTCTGATGAAAATGCACTGAGCTTAAAGTAAATAATGTAAAGATTAGCTGAACATTTGATTACATAACTTGATCTTATATAGTTAAGAGCGAAAGAAACTATGTCGTCAGAAAATTATAAGTCTGCTTTAACAGACCTAAGATACTATACTGTTTTACAAGATGTAAAGATCTTATTTAGAAAAGGGTGCAAAATATGACTTTGAAAAATTCAGTGAATAATAACACTGCAAACTGAGAGTTAGATTCTGAATATCATTGTAAGCACGGGGAAATTAAACAACAAAATAAGAAACTCGACAGCACAAACTTGAAAGTTTGTCACGTTTAGAATATAAAGTTGTGGAAGAGAAATTGTTTCACTACCTCAAGAAGGTTCAGACCCATAACTACAGCCAAACCAGAAGCACCCAAAGGTAATCCTTGGCCAATTTGTCCATAAGCCTTTCCTGCAAATGAAGCTCCTACGCCCAGTAGCGCTAATGTGGTTGCAAGACCCAATGAAAATGCAATGGAATCTCCAACCATGTTTTGATCCGATTCATTTCTTTCTTATTATCATAATCATATATATGTAAAAGGCCAGTGGAGGAAGGAAGTGGAAATTCCTGAGTTGACCATGACTTAAGTTTACTGCAGTTTCATAGAAGATTAGTTTTTATTAAAAAGTTCAAAACCCCTTTAACTTGAGCATAAAAACTAATATTAAAAAGTTCAAAACCCTACAAACAACAAAAGAAAAAATAAACATGAAATCGAAATAGAGCTTGTTATAATTGACTTATTCAAAGGAAACAAGTCATTCTGGTTTACATACCAACACAGTGAACAGCATTAGATCTGCGGAGAATTGCAGCGAGGCCAAGATCACCAATTTTGACTTCTCCTTGGTTTACCATGTGCAGTCCATCACAAACTCACACAGTAATAACAACATTTCCCTAATTTTGTACTATCTCATCTCAGTATGGCAGCAACAGCAGTAGCTACATAAATATTGCCTTATTACACCCTAATATAATCGAAACATAATCAAAATCCATCCCTAACACAATAAGCTCAAATTGCAAATTGAAATAGGACAGTAACTATGCAATAGCATATATGCAATGTAATTGACCGAAAACTGAAACATACATCATGGTAGTAGATAAAGTGTAAATGCGAAAAAGAATTAGAACATTAGAGAAGTTCGAAATTGCAATTCCTAGTTGAAAATGTTACCGAACGTGGGACAACTATTGTTATCAGAGACTTTTGCTGAGTCGTGTTATTGCAGTATTGAGCTATGAAGTTGTATCTTGGATACTTGAGTAACTGTCGTTTGAATGAAGCAGTGTTGTCGGACCAAAGCAGTGTTGCCGGACCAAATAGATGAAGAGGTTCAGTGGCTACTTTACCCCTTTTCAGTGCAGCAGCATAAGTCACCCTTTTACATCATAGAAACATAACAGCAACACCAAACATAACAGCAGCACCCCGTAAGTATCAAAATTGCTCTATTCGAACCAAACCATTTGAACCAGTGATTGAACCTAAAAATAAATAACACAGCATCAAAACCAAACCAGAAGGAAATTCCCAAATCTTAATTGCGATTGATGGTGAAGGATCTGAATCAAAAGCGTTCAAAATTGTTCTACGGGAGGTTCACAGTGGTTTTTATGAGAAGTAGATGTAAGGGGAAATTTTGTAAAAAAAATCGGAGAAAGGGTGGTGAATCGTGGTGAACGCAGTCGATGCATAATTTTGATGGTGGAAGGAGATCAGGGGAGATGGGGTTTACGGTAAGGTGATGTGTGGCGATGTGAGTGGCGGAAGGATTTTAAGGGGTGGCGGTGATGGTGGTCACGTTAGCGGAGCCAGGAGGTTGAAAGAATGGTGGTGATGGGAGCGGCAGAAGAAGAAGGGTTAGGGTTTTCGGAAGTAGAGGAGATGAGAGGAAATAGAGAAAAGGAAAGGGTGTCGCAGGTGATGGTTAAGGGGTTGATGAAGGGGAGATTTGGATGATGAGGAGGAGAGAACGAAGATGGAAAGGGTTATTCAAAGATGGTGAGAACTGGAAGGTTTTGGAGAAGAAGGAGAGAAATAGTGGGGATGAAGGTTGTTCTAGGTCCAAGGAAGGTATTGAATAAAACTTCTTAGGTCAGGTGGGTAATACCTGACTTAATAAATATGTTTTTTAAGTCAGTTAGTGAACAGAGGTGACTTAAGAAATTTAATATGAATTATAGTTTTTTTCTTTAATATTTTTTAAGTCAGTTCTAAATATAATTGACCTAGCAATGTTATAAATATTTACGAAATTGCCACCGCATCACTTCTTAAGTCAGGTGGCAGGTGAAGTGACTTAACAACCTCTACTATAAAGTATTTTTTCTACTACCCTTTGTCCCAAGACTTTCACTCAATCAGATCTGAATTGTGTAATCTTGTCCAAAACCTTCAGATCCTCAATGATCTTGAAGGAAAATTCTAACTCAGTTTTCTTATTTCAAACACTCAAAGAACTCAATCCAAAATTCTCGGTATAACAACTAATTGGACGTTATCAACCCTAATCTAGATGGTCACCCAATCCAAACAAATAATTATGTGTAGTTTGATTATGTGTATGCGTAGAAGAGAGGTTGACGATGATGAGTATATTTTGAAATTCTAATTTCATATTGGTTTTACTCTAAAAACTTACTAGCAAAAAGATGCATGTAACACTATATATATATATATATATATATATATATATATATATATATATATATATGTGTGTGTGTGTGTGTGTGTGTGTGTGTGTGTGTGTGTGTGTGTGTGTGTGTGTGTGTGTGTGTGTGTGTGTGTGTGTGTGTGTGTGCGCGCGCGCGCGCGCACGCGCATGTGTATGCATGTCTGTAGCGTGCGTGCGTTATTTATATATATCTATCAAGTAAGATGGTTTAGTCCGCCATTGATTAGACGACAACCACATGTATCTAAAAACATCACCCATTTGTGAATAGTTAAACGCGGTTTATCATCAACTGTTTCTCCCTGATAAAAAGACAATTATTTATATTATTATTATATACAAATTTGACATATTATGTATAAGATTTCCCAAGTATTTAAAGGACACATGTGCATTCATATTCATATATACATGTAGTCATTAATCTTCAATATCATATTGCACAATTTTACGGTGAAAATGTATGCAACACGACTCCTTTCCATGTACAAAAGAAATCCAAGTGCTCTTTAGGGGTTGGGAATTGGTTTTAATAACTGGTTGTAATATATGGATTATTTATGGTTATGGATTGGTTTTGAACATTAACCATCCATGACCACCCCTACCTAATTAGAAGCTTGCATAGAGATGTGAACTGATGTTGATTCTTGCTCCAATTGATCCAGAAAGCTTCTATGGATCCTCCTAGAGCTCTTGATGATCTTGAATTGAGTTGAATGTGCTTGATTCTTGAAAACGCGATTTCACTTTCTTCCTCACTTCTCTAACTCCTTATAACAGAATTCTGCACCAATCTTCATCAATCCAATCATGGAATCACTCAAGAGTTTATATAGAATTGAATGGGAATGGATTTGAGACCCAACTGTAGCTGTAATTGAAAATGGATATACAACTTTTTCCTTACTTGGAGGCCCATGGAAGTGCACAAAAATGGCTTGCAAATTCTCTCAAGCTTGCTCACATCAGTTGTTAGTTGTGTAATGTAGTTCAAGGGATGAGATTTGCTCCTTGTTTTGGAGGAATGGTGGATCTTGATTATGTTACTTCAAGATTAAGTAACATGTAAAATGTAATGGTTTTATGGCTCAATTTGCAAATCCATAAATGCCATTGTGTTTTAAATGCAAAATGCACTTAAAATATGCACGAATTTGGGTGAAATTGGTCCATTTTGAATTTATTTGAATTTTTTACTTTTAATGGCCTTTAATGTTCTTTTCATGAATATTTCTTCATCAAAGCTTCAATTCAAGCCAAATCAATGGTTCCTTGAGGTTTGGTTAAGCAAATGACCCCATTTGGAGCAACTTTGATGTTGGAAAGTTTGTCATTTGAGATGTGCAAGGTGGTGAAATTGACCTATAATCAAAAGTGGCCTCTAATCAAAGTTTCCTAAAATACCGCTGTCTTGCAAGCTTTATATCTCGAGCTTCACAAATCAGATGAAGGACTTCTAGTAATCTTTGAAAATATAATATGATAAGGAACAACTTTCATGTTTGGGTCAAGGTGAGGAGAGACCTCCTTCTAGGTCAAAAGTCTCTTGGAAGTTGGTTGACTTTCATGGACCAAAATCACATTCATCTGATGACCTGTAACTTGTCTGCTTCATAACTTGAGTTTTAGAAATCATATGGATGACTTCTATTACTAAAAAGAACTCTAGAAGAAAGACCTACAAGATTCATGTTGGTATCAAGATGAGATGAAACTTGTATCTTGAGATATGTGGTCTTGAAGTTGGGCACTAAACAGGGGATTTTACACTGACAAAGCTTAGAAACCCTGGCTTATTGACTTCTCACACTCTTGAGTATTGATGAGTTGATATTGGAATTGTCTCTTAGGTGTCTTAACACAACATTCCATGATCACAAAGACTTGGAATTGAGTCTTAATCTCCTTTAAATTCACTGTTGACTTAGGGTTAACCAGATGAAAACCCTAGCTGCACCACCTTTGGCTGTGGCCTCTTGTACTGGATATAATGACTTGCATAAGCTCCTTAATGACCCTCAATGCATTCAATGAGCTCTCATAATGGATTACACCCATAGCCATGGATTCAAAATCATCCGATGATCTCCCCTGACCTTCAAGTTATGAGATATGCACACTTGTATCCACCCCTTCGCCCAAGGAGCCTTGACTTTCTCTGGTGACTTGATGAGGATGATAAACCTTTATATGCTTGAATGAGCTTCTATATTAGCCATATAAACTTTGGTAACCTCTTCTTGATAAGCACAAATCTCTCAATCTCGTGTACATGGACAATGGTATGCAAATGCTAATGCTATATGAATGCAATGAAACATAAGCTAGGTAAATAAAAAGGTTGGGCAAATTTTAGGGTGCAAAAACTTCCTCTATTCAAACGGCTTGGACCTGACTGGGTGAGAAGCGAACGACTTTAAAACAATCAGGTTAAAAGACGATTGAATACCAAAGAAGCTTGGAAATTTGCCAACCGCAGAAACTGCACAAACTGAAAAGGAATAACAGTCTCCTAGAGAAAATTTGAACATGACGAACGTCTCGAACACTCCGTTGGGGAAAAGAGATTTAATCAAGTAACCTTGCTGAGAAACTACATAATAAAACTGGTGTCATGGTTCGAATACCACGTGGGCTGAAGGGTAGCATGTCAAATTTTCAGAATCTTTATATTCAATGAACACAACGAATCAACAAAATCTGCTGGAGCCTAGATACTCAACGAAACGAGGAATACATCATCAATTGAAACTGGCCAGAGTACGAACATTCAACGAGATAAACTGGAACAAACCGAAGC